TCTTAGGCCCCGGGCAGACTTCACGCGATTTGATCGTCGCGACTGAATCGCGAGGCGACAACTGTTACAACATCATTCCATGCAGATCAAATTGCATTCGGTTGTGATACTTTTCCAGACCGAAATTTTTGAATGTGAAATGAAAATGAATGGAAATCTTGGCGATTTGATCGCCAAGATTTCCATTCATTAAGATCGATTAAGTCGCGTGAAGTCTGACCGGGGCCTTAAGTAGCTGAATATTCATATTTTAACGGATACCATGCAATAATTTTCAAGAGTTTACAAGCTCAAAGATGAATAAATAGCAAATTAAATATCAAATTTTTATTTTTTTCATTTTCATAAAACACCTGGAGAAGCGATGCATATTCCACGAGGTTGAGGCTGAGGCTCTTGTTGGCAACCGCAGAGATAGAATAAGGCGTTTTGACTGTCTGGTGACCTCACTGTTCTCTTTTGTCAAGCAAATGTGGCATATTTTCACCTCTCGACATTGATCTACTTTGGCTTAATAAGCTCGCTCAGTATTACTAGGTCATAAAATACTACATTTAACAGACCACTCTTACTGATACTATATGCATAATATTTTCCTGTAATTGTCCCAATCGCCTAAGAAAATAAGAGAAAAAGATTCTTAGAAACTAAAAAAAGTTTGAATTTTCCAGCTTTTAGCTATTTTGGATACTCAAAATGATTTGGTTTGGTGAACAGTTTTCCCTTGAAAAATTATCTCTAAATAGCTTTGCTTTTGCACGGTTCTCAATAAAATATGAATCTTCTAGCTTGCGGCTGGCTGCCCGGGTGCTACTTGCTACGTGCCAGTGTGCTTAAAAAGTCAAGAAAGTGTTATTTATGGCGTTTTCCGGCCTTGGAGATTGCTGAGGAGGCTGGAGCGGAGAATAGTGATTGGCTGCAGGAGAATGTATGCTCGTCCTCACCCCACTAGTCGGTCGGTGGTCACATTTGAAGTCGAACTGGAGCAGGCCGGCCGCGGCAGAGCGCGGCAGACGCTGCCCTTCAGCCAACCGCTTGCACGAATTTTATTTTTATTTTCTTCGTGTTTCTTGGCTATCTCTCGTAGTGGCAATCTTCTTAATCAGTTTTCAGGTTTCGTCCGCTAACTCTTTGAAACAAACACTTTTTGAGAGAATTTCAGCCCTATCGCGAAAAAAAGTTTAAAGTACACATTCTAACGAAAAACTTGACACAATTCATCAAATCACATTTATGTGTTGTCACTTAACGGAAAAAAGATTTCTCATCCAAAAATCTCCAATCACATCCTTCTTCCTGTGGCCGTATTCATCATTGATACCTTGAGGTAAATTCTACCTCCAGGTAGTTTTATCATTCATTATCAGCAAAATTACATTGAGAATTTACCTTAAGGTACTTTGTGAATACGGGTACTTGCTGATAATGAGTGATAAAACTAGCTGGAGGTAGAATTTACTTCAAGGTATCAATGATGAATATGGCCACTGGTTTACTTGGGCACAAATGCACAAAACAATAGTTAGCGGTACGAAATCTAAAAATTTGATTAAGAACATTGCGCAATACGAGAGATAGCAAAGAAACACGAAGAAAATAAGAGGAAAGCTCATGTGCAAGCGGTTGGCTGAGGGGCGGTATGCCGAGCTCTGCCGCCCGGCCTGCTCCAATTCGAATTCAAATTCGACCACTGACCGACTAGTGGGGTGAGGAGATAACACCATTCATTTTGGCGGCGATTGGCTAATTGGCCAGGCAGCCAATCGCGACTGCGCTGCGGGAATCTCCGCTCCAGCCTCCTCAGCAATCTCGAAGGCCGGAAAACGCCGTAAAAAGCACTTTTCAGCTCTTCAGTTCTAGTCTAAACGCATTCAGAAAGCCAAGAAAGAACAGAAAACGCGCACTTGCAATTTTCCCGAGCCACTGCCTTTAAAGGCAGTGTCTCACCAAAGTTGAGGTCGCGCGGATCTTCACATATTATATTATAGGGACGTCTAAACAGGCCATTGCGACAAGTCCCACTCAATTTGACCCCCTCCACGCTGAGAAAAATTCGCTCAAAGTAGTACGCGGAGAGCGAGTGGGTACGCGCGGACGACTCCTCTGGTTTCCCCCCTTACGCGTTTGAACATGTCCCTCCACTTGGCATCCATCTCCCCTCTGTTGCTGCCACTGTGGCTGAGGCTGAAGTTGGAAGGTACAACTCGTCCACGTTGCTTCCACGGGGCCTCCAGAAAATGGGATTTTTGGGAACTTCTTGCGATTTTAAGCCCATACAGCGCTAGACAGGGTCCGACAGGCTTGCAAAATGCAAAAATCTCGGCAACTAAATTTTGGTGAGACACTGCCTTTAAGCAAAATCGGCTAGGTGACCACGCGTTGCAGACCTATCTGATCGCCTAGCCGGGCCTTAGACAGTCAGGAATCGAACATTCGCGCATCATGAGCATGGCTGCGTTTGACCGGCCTGTACGGGAACACTTACCCGAGCGGGAAATTATTACATGCCACCCTAGTTTGTCACTCCACCTATCTGGAGTGGTTAGGCCATTGCCCGATCCCATTATCAATGTGAAGCTGCAGCGATGGTCGAGGTCGTCGTAATTTTCAAACTCATCAGCCGTTTTTGAACTTTGACCGGCAGATCATTCAGCTCTATCCTCAGCTGCTCATTTTCTTCGAGGAACCTCCTAGCGATCTTCGGAAAGAGTTCTAGGTTTTTCCTAGAGATACTAAGGCGCATTCTCCGCTGCTCGCAATCTTCTTAAAAGCCGATCGAGTCGCACTTCGGGTCTCCCCGATAGAGAATAAAAATTATTATTCGGTTTACTTATCACGTTCTGGCATATGTGGTTGCACTGCTCATTCGTTGTGGTAAGTTCTTTTTAAGAAATGCCCGCATCACTACTGACTTTCTTGCGGCCTGAATACAAAGACACTTACTGCATAATCACAGCTGTTCATGTTTAACAGTGGTTGAATAGGAAGAAGAATGCGATTTGGGGGAGTAGGGAGTTTGAGGAATGTGTTTCTGTACAACAAAGTGTGTATGATTGCCTTGCTTTTTCTGCAACAAGTGGGAAATTAAAAACCGCATTTACTAGAAAATGTAATGCTCGGCTACTTTCAAACAGGTGATTCTCCATCACAAATTTTCAGAAGTATTAATTTAGACTTCCAGCCAGACTTCTAAACACGTTAGTTTCCAAGAATTATCAAATTTGGATAGAAAAGCCAACGTTTTCGCATTTCTTACTCATTTTATCTCAAAAATCTAGCCCTGAAATGCAGCAAGTGTACATATGAATGTTTGATGTGAGTGTATACGTGCGCAATCAATCGGAGGTTTCCACGATTCCTTTGGACAAAGATCTTTTTTGGTATTTGAACATTGAAAATTTTGCTTTTAAACAACTTCACGTGGGTAGAACTTTGCAAATGCCATCTTATAGAGCTTGCTTTCCTTTACTGAAGAATTTGTTTCCTTTGTTTTTATAAATCCTCATCCTTTTTATCCTTAATTGCATAAAGAACAGCCATCAATTTTCGGACAACCTAATAGAACAACACTAACGTCAATACCCTAAGCGGACACTCTCTGTAAATTTTCAAAAAGCTAGCGCATAAGAAGGTACGATACGTAATAACGTACTGGTCTCTTACAACTCGTTAGAACTCTAACGGCGAGACACTGAATAGTTGACAGAACTTTATTTAGACTATGACTTCAAAGAATCAAAGTATTATTTGCATAATGGAAAGTCTAAATTAGCTTCTTTCAGAGAAGAGTACAAAAAGTTGAGCAGAAGTCTCCGATAGGTGTTAACCAACAAAAAAGTCCAAGTCCAGTAAGTGTTTCTCTTGATTTATTTTTTGATTTTGCCTCGTTATGTAAAATCTCACATCATTCTTCAGTGACAACAGAAATTAGCGCTAGATGGGGCGGACATACGTAGAAAGTCATCCCCCTTTGCACACCTGACTCAATAACTCTCGATCCTTTTCCACCTCCAGAACCTCAGACTGTGGCATTTTAGACTATCAGTCTGTCTAAATATTCCCAAGGACGGAAAATATGGCATGTTGCTGAACCTTCTGCTTCATATGAAGCTTCGGGTTAATCAGTCTCGTGATCGCAGACCTTATTACGTGCACTTTAGTCTACTTAACCTCAAAGTAATTTGATGGTAGTTCTGAAACAAAACACAAACGGTATAGGGGCTTTTCAAATTTCGTGCAAGAGTTGGTTTTTGTCAAGTATGTTGACTCTAAGCCGTTTTGGATAAGACTGGGTTTATACTGATCCGTAAGTTCCGGAACAGTTCCAGCACAGCGCTCGAATTGTGCGCTGTGTTGGAACTGTTTCGGAACTTACGAATCAGTATGAACCCAGCCTGAGACTCCCACTAACTTTTCTCGCGCATTTTGCGCGTGCCTACGTGCGTGTGCACGGGAACACTATGCGTAAGTGTTTCAGAAGCTTCTACCCGAAAGTTGCGGTTTCCCTCTGTACAAGTCTCACACATTTTTTCTAAGATTACACCTACTAAAAAGATTTTGCTTCACTCTTCCCCCTCATTGGACCAGGCAATCGCTATGTCTGTGAAACCTGTTTTTGAGAAGAAGCCATATAATTGATTGCATTACCGGAAATCCCCTTGTTTGCGCTCAAAACATCTATATAAAGTCTTGGCTCAATTGGAAAAACATAACTTATATATAAACTTTGAACTCATTCGCGTGTGCGTCTGTACGTAAGTTTCGAATAGAAAATTCCATTTCTGAACTAACTAACCCGGACCAAACATTGCACACATACGCCTCGGGGCGGAGGAGGTGTTGTGGATTCCTTTTTTATCAATCGATGTCAAACTTATTGTTTTTTGAAAAATTTGAACTAATAGCTGGAAGTTTGGGATATAGAAGTCGAACGGGATGGGGCTATGTTGTACGTCACTAACAAGGGAATGGTCAGAAGTCAAAGTGGCCAATCCAAACAAGGTGCATACCATCGATGCAACTTAGAAAGCTGATTTCGAATCTGATTTCCATATCTGCAGAGAGCCTTTATAAGCGAAGTTATGAAGCTTTAGTGCGAAAAATCGTAAACAAAAATTGCGAGATTGGGCACAGTGTTGCCCTTTTTGCTCACCTTTAGGTACTGGCCATATGAAATGATCTAGCTGCATGTTTTATTCTAGCACTGAGCCAGGACTGGCTCTTTACGGCCAAGTTTGTCTTTTACACACACAATTTCTTAGCAAAATAATGGGTTTTAACGACTTATAATTCCATCCAAAAAAGTGGCTGCAGATAAGGAAGACAGGTTTGGAGTCAGCGTTTTATGCTACATCTAATGGTATGCAGTTTGATTGAATTGGCCACTTCGAATTCTGACAATTCCTGCACTAACCTCCCCGCTGGGGAGGGGATCGCAGCTTAAAAGAAAGCTTTACATTTCGAAACTCCAGATACCTGGATTTCACTTGTGTACCTATCCGTAAGTATTTCTACTACTATGAACATGTTGAAAAGGAGCGAGAAGCTGTAGGAACTGCATTTTCCAGCTTTTGTATGATCCCTGATAATCCCCAGCGCTTCTCTTTGAAGTCATTTTTCTTTCTCCGAAGTTAACGAAAACTTTCCAAAGCTGTACTGAACATCTAACACAACAGTGCTAAGCATGTTGCTGGTGAGAACAAATGAGTTTTTGAAAAGTCGAATTTTTCGGTAAACCTCAAATTTCGACCTGTGGATCATCGAAAATTTCATGACTTCAAAACATCATTTGTTCTTGTCAGCAACATGCTTAGCACTGTCGGGTTAAATAATCTGCACAGAGTATTTCGAAAAAAAAATGTTTCAGGATGACGGAAAAGCATCGAACTTTTTCTCTTTCCCCGCGAACTTGGCATGCATGCTTATGGATGCACAAAAACACGAGCGGGAGTTAAGACATTGTCCTACACAAAGTACGCGGTGGTCAACCTGTTGATGGACTAAAACTCGACTTTACTCTTGAGTAGAAAAAAAAAGCGTATATTTTGTTTGGGCAAATTAGGATGTTATTTACTGTCCAAAATAAGGTTTCATGTTCGCAAGTAATGCTACTAGGAAAAAGAAGAATTGTATCGGGAAACGATGTGAAGCGAGAATGCTAGTGCCAGTCCTAGACCCCGGATCCTATTTGAGTATTACCGCCATCTGGATCCTACCCTGTCACAGCCACCATGCCGAGAGGGCGTCCCCGTGCTTGATCCTGAATTTAAGGCTACAAACACTCGGGCTCCATTCGCGTACTCTAGCCGCGCGCTCACAGACTTACTCGTTATATTGGAGCCCTCGGAGAATAAGATGACATACTGCATATTCTCATATACAAGTCTTTGAAGTTGCCTCGTCAAAACACTGTTCTCTTATAGAGTCCAATTGTGCCATTACGAACAAGAGTGGTGAGAATGTTTTATATACAAGCATGTTCTCATGTGAAATATTCCTTTAAGTCGAATAAAAATATTCCTTTACTACAGTCGACTAAAAAGGTAATGGACAAGGAACGTTGGGAATTCGTAAGTTTAAACTTCCGTTATTTTAAGCAGGTAGGTAATGCAGAGAGGTTTGGTCTCCTCTGCTTTGCACACCTACTATGAAAGATGCAAGTATAAAGTGCGTTCCGTCCAGCTTTCCATAGGTATAGGCCGTCCGCGCTGCGGACAGAGAGCAACGCTGTTGCGTACATTGAAGGCAGTTCACGACTGGAAGAAGCGCAGAGAAAACAGGCGGCGAGAGTGCACAAGAAAGGAGGAGTGACGCGCAATAAACACCTTGCGCCCTCTCCGCGCTCTGCGCGGACGGCCTATACTCCGCTTTTTGTTGTTTGTGATTTCTATTTTCCTTCTAAACTTTGAAGCAAAACCGTGAACGGTAACAAGTAACAATAGGATAAGAGAACCATCTTTGAAGCGGTTCTTTTGCGTCTTCCTGAACGTGAACAATTTGGGAAAGCACTCCGAACACGAGCATGCGAAAAGTACCTCACTTAGACTACGAAGAAGGTTAAAGGCAGTGGATCGGCAAAACTTAACAACGCATGATTTTAACGCAGTAGGTCCCTTGTCGCCCAAGTATGAAAACAGTGCAATCCCGGTTGCACAGCATGCCTTCCCTGCCGAGAAAACTGCTCTCAAACTTATACGCGCAGGCCAATCTTACACGCAACTGGACGAGTTGGCAATTTCCATCCCACCATTGGAGGCTGCCCGCCGCAATGCTGTAACCATTGCGTCCTGCAACGATTCAGCGTCATCAGCCTTGCTCCACTCGTCCAACTTGAAGGGGATAGGCATTCAAAAACGCATGTTTTCGCCGTTTTCAAGCTCTCTAAAGTGGATTTTAAGGATCAGCGTATTGAATAACCTCAAGTAAGCAAAAATTTGACTAGGTTGCCATTTGCCGAGCCACTGCCTTTAACTACACTGCAAAATCTACCGCAAAATCTGTACTACTTTAACAAACAGGTGTCACTTTCGTTAGAAGTACTCGAGATTCGAATGGAGAAGTTCACACTCACATTCTTCAAAGCTGAAATGTGAAACGCGAATTTTATGTTTGTGTATCAAGGCTCTACACAGATGCCACCGACGATTTTTGCGTGATAAGGACGACGTAGTCCGAAGCAGACGAGTGTTTAACAATTCTGAACCCAAGATTGTTGGTTGCCGTTCCTAAACACACAGGCGATGCTGTGAAATGGCATCTTACTTACTTTGATACTTAAATGGCCCGACTTCACGTGACGCGCGGGCCCCAGCACAGAAGTTTCCATTGATCCCTGTCCCTCGCTTCGGACCACGATCTTCTTGGTCGTCGTCGGCAGAGGTGTGATAGTCGGAGCCGAGTCTCCGCCTACCTTCACCTTTGAGCCGGTACGGGGTGACCACCTTCACTTTTGAGTTGAAAATTCTTTTGCTGAAGCTTAAGAGAAGGAAAATAAGCAAAAGGAACGCAAAAAAGTATTGAGAGCATATATCTATGTAACAGGTCGATCTAGGCAGTAACCGCCGATAACCAGAATTTCGAATGATAAAATAGCGAAAAAAATCATGCGAAATTTCCACTGTTATATATCTGGTGGTTGAAGATGTCAGCAACTGCGACTTCATAGGTTTTGAAGGGCAGGTGTTGTTCTACCAGATAGGCAAAGAATTAGATCAATCTGAGCAGTGGTCGCCGAGAGCGAGAATTTTAAAAAATTAAGCGATTTTAGGTTAGTTAGTGACAGCTTGCGTTTAGACTCCTATGAATCTGGAATGTGCAGGTATGCAATGTCACGATTTCATAGGTTTTGTAGAGTAAAAATTGCTCTATCGGACTATGTCTTACCGTACCAATTCATCAAGATACCGCGGAGATTCAGGCTCTTGAAAAATACAGGTAAAAAACCGCTCTTTGAAATTCAACAGCTCATAACTTCAGAGTTGCAGGAATCATGTTGCTACTTCATAGGTTGGATTCTCCTTTTCAAGAGCTTTCAGATGATATATAATATGTGGGGGTTTCGCGCCCCTCACGGCACATGCCCGGGGGTGGAGACTTTTCACCCCAAAGTCTCCACTAGCGGTCTCCGGCCAATACATTAACATGGGCTAGGTGGAGACTTTGGGGTAAAAAGTCTCCACCCTGGGTTAGAGCCGCAAAAATCATTGAATCCCCCACATATTTTATATCATCTAAAAGCTTTTGAAAAGTAGAATCCAACCTATGAAGTTGCAACATGATTCATGCAATTATGAAGAAGTTATGAGCTGTTGGAGTTTAAAAAGTGGTTTTTTACCTATTTCTTTAAGAGCCTGAATCTCCGCGGTATCTTGATGGATCGGTACGGATAAGAAACAGTCCGATAGAGCAATTCTCACTCTACAAAATCTATAAAGTCGCAACATTGCATACCTTCACATTCCAGATTCATAGGAGTCTAAACGCAAGCTGTCACTAAGTAACCTAAAATCGCTTAATTTTTTTTTTGAAATTCTCGCTCTCGGCGACCGCTGCTCAGATCGATCTAGTTCTTTCACTGTCTGGTAGAACAGCACCTGCCCTTCAAAACTTATAAAGTCTCAGTTGCTGATATCTTCAACCACAAGATTTATAGCAGTGGAAATTTTGCATGATTTTTCGCTATTTTATTATTCGAAATTCTGGTTCTCGGTGGTTACTGCCTGGATCGACCTACTTTATTCGCAGTACGTTATAACAAAATTTACTTAATAAAATATGTAAAGTCTAATTGAGTTTTACTTACAAATAGACCATTTGAATACGTTTATTTCTTTTTATTTTATTTTTATGCCGCTGTACTCATCGTATTTGTGGCCCTAAAGAGGGCCGTTAGGTCACACTTGTTGGCCCTCAAGGAGACCGTTGGGTCAGAGTTCTTCAATTATCCGAAGTCCCCCCCCCGGTCGACGTTTTTGAGAGGTGAGTTTCCGGCTCCGGCACTACCACCTTCACTTTTGGCCGGCCAGTGGTAGCTGGAACCACCTTCACTTTTGAGGGGCCCGGTTCCACCTATCGCACCTCTGGTCGTCGGTGGCTGCGTCTACGAGTTCCAGGGGCGAAAATCGTACCCAGCTGATTTCTCAGCTGGTCTATCCGTTCCACGAACACGTCTGCCCATCTCGTTGGAGGTCTTCCTCGGGGACGTTTTGCTTCACGAGGAATCCACTTCGTTGTTCTTAGCGTCCATCTATCGTCTCTTTCTCATAATGTGACCGGCCCATCGATTCTTCGCTTTCGCAACGTAATTCGCTGGATCACGAAGACGGGACATTCTTCTCATATCCGTGCTGCGAAGTCCGACTAGATGTTGCTTGCGTCGGGTCATCTTCAGAAGACTGCGCTCGAGCGCTCTGAGGGTGGTCCGTAAAGCTTTCGACGTGGCTACAGTGTCGGCCCAAGTCTCAGCTGCGTAACAAAGCGCCGGGAGAACGGTTGAGTCGAACAGGTAGGCACGAAGCTCCGGGTCCGTCAGTTGGTCGGTGGCTTTCTTCAAAGGCCCGAAGGCGGCCCAGGCTGCTCTTCTTCTCCTGTTCAGTTCTCCCCTCAAGTCGTCCTCCATGTTCATCGAACGTCCGACATATACGTAAGAAGACGTCTCCATGACAGAGGTGCCTTCCAGTTCCATTTCTGCATCTTCGCAAAGGACGTTCTTCATGAACTGAGTCTTCTTCCGATTTATTCGCAATCCGATCTTCCCTACTTCGTTCAGTTCCTTCAGCATCGTCTCTGCTTCAGTGATACTGCTCGAAAAGAGAACGATGTCGTCCACAAAACGAAGGTTCGACAGAAATCTCCCATCAACTCGTATGCCTCTCTCGTCCAAGTCCAGTGATTTCATCACCCACTTCAGGGCCGCGGTGAACAGCTTCGCCGAAATTGTGTCGCCTTGTCGGATCCCCTTTCCAATTGGGATGGTCAGAGGGAAATGGAACAGCTGCATCGTCGTTGTACAGTCCTTGTAACAGTCGGCTAATGTCTTTACGTAAGCTGGGTCCACTCCTTGATCGAACGCTGACAAGATGGCGTTGGTTTCGACGCTGTCAAAGGCTTTCTCGTAGTCGACGAAGGTTAGGACGAGAGGCAGTCAGTACTCCCGGCAGACTTCTATGACCCTCGAAACCGTCTGGATGTGGTCCATGCAGCTGAATCCTTTGCGAAATCCAGCTTGTTCTTGGGGTCAGGCTTCATCCAGTGTCCTAGATATGCGAGCGAGGATAATCTTCGTGAAGAGCTTGTACAGCACACTCAGCAAGCATATTGGACGGTAGTTCCGAAGACCCCCCCCCCTTTCACCCTTCTCAAAAAGAAGGACAGTTCTTGACGTTTTCCACTCTTCGGGAATCCTTTCCTTCTGAAGGTAAGATGTTAGGTGCGACGCGAAAATCTCGTGTAGACGTTGTACTCCGGTTCGCAGAAATTCCACGGAAAGATGGTGTGGTCCAGGACCCGTGGAAGTCTTCATGGTCTGAATCGCTGTGCGCACTTCAGCAGGTAGAATTCGTGGTGGTACTTCTCCAGTGGGAACGACGGGCATCGGCACGGGTGTTGATGAGCGGAAGAGGTTTGTATAGAAGTTCTTCGCGATAGATTCCATCTTGTATCGGGAAGAAGTCGGAGTCCCGTCTTCGTTTAATAGTGCAGCCAGCGGTACGTGTTCACAGAGGTCCCTTCAGCACTTCTTGAGACTTCGTCTTCATCGTCTTCCAGTATCTTGGCTTGCCTGTACTTCCTGAGATCCTCATGCAAAGCTGTTCTGCAACTGGCATTGGCTATCGTCGCTCGAGATGGGATGCATTCGGATCCTGCCCCAGAAATCTTCTTCTTTCGAACGTTTTCTCGGTGGTCTTCGAAATGCGTTCCACGTTCTTCTCGGAAGTCACTGAGGCGCACTCTCCGCAGGCTCGCAACCCTTTCAGAAGCCGGTCGTAGTCGTATGTTGGGTCCTCCTCGATGGGTCAATCACAACTTGATATGAGCTCCTCCAGCCTGTTACCGTCATAAACGACATTCTTCCTTCTTGCGGCACTGTGGCAGACCTTCTTTTCCAGCTTTCGACTGAATCGTACCTTCGCTCGAAGGAGGCGGTGATCGAGCCACTGCAGAAGGATGGAACTACTGAGACATCGAGCAAGCTCCACCATCGGTTGGTGAGAATGAGGTCGATCTCCGCATGAGTCGTTCCGTTGGGCGTTTCCCATGTCCGCCGGCGATGTTCTTTCTTCATGAAGATGGAATTTCCATGGAAAAGTCGTGCGGCGGAGAGAAGCCCACCGAGACGGTTGCCGTTTTCGTTCCGGAGCCCATATCCGAACTTCCCGATTCTCTATTCCTTTTCTAATGGCATCCCGATTTTCGCATTGAAGTCGCCCCCAGCATACCCGTAGAAGGGCTTTTTGTTGCGGACGACCTCCTCTACGTCTTCGTAGAAAAGATCTAGTTCTGAGTCGTCAGCTGCTGATGTTGGAAAGTAGCAAATAATGATGCTGATGGTCTTCTGACGTGGAGATCGTAGTCGTAGGATGACTAGTCGAAGTGATAGGATCTCGTGCGAATCGACAATATGGACGATTGATGGGTGGACGACAAAGCCAACGCCTTCCACGTTTCGTGATGGATCCTTCTCGCCACGAATGATGAGCGTCTCATCACTCATCTGTCGCACGTCGTTCTTCCTGGACTTCGTTTCCTGCAGAGCGATGATGTGGTACTTGATGCGCTTCGCAGTGTCGAGAAGAGCGTGAAGGTCGGCGTTTGTAGAGATTGTCCTGGCGTTGTAGGTGCAGAGCATGAGGCAGTCTTCATGGCGTGTTGTCCGGGCAGACGTGTCGTTTTCGTCCAATCCAAAAGGCGCCCTGAGGACCCTGACATCGTTCTTGCTACGATCCGGCGCCGTAGGTGGGATCCAATGTACGGGGTTTCTTTCTATTTTTCTAACTGGTATAGTAATGAAGTTTTTCCCTTACAAGAGCAGACTGGTTAGGCATACTCTTGATTTCCACGGGCGATCGCTGACCCGGATGTAGGGCAGGGAGATTCGCCTAGCGACCAGAAAAACCAGACGGCGGAGTATCTGGCCTGTCCGGCTCTTAGCTAGGCATCCAGCCGAAAGGAAAAACGTCGAACTCCTTTACAGCTTGGGAGGCTCTACCAGAGTATACACTCGGATGTGCATCGCAGACCGAACAGTTCACCCCCACGCCACAATGAGGCGGCCGACCATTATGGGAGTTTTTATAACTAAAGTAAAATGGAATCGCTTGTCTCACTAAACCGCCTTCATGGAGTCACGCTATCAAAAGCCGTATACTCATCAATTTTGCTCGAAATGAGCAGCTTCAAATTGAGGCATTACAAAGTTTGCAGAGTATGTGCTTGGAGGTGGGGGGGGGGGGGAATGGGACTATAGATGAAGGACGGAGCTGACACTGGCAAGCTAAAGGAATTTGCTTGCGCTATATAATCGGGACAGAGTCTCAGCCTAAACAATGTGGAGGCCACAGAGTGCTGGATAAAGATAGCGGCTTGTCATTTGACTTAAGATCGTGCTTACTGAAGGTTATTCGAAAATCTGGTTTCGAAAATAAACTTCAAAGAAAGCGAAAAATGGAAAGGAAATCCTTTTCTTAAAACTCATCTTAAGTTGAAAGAGCAAAACAGTTTCTGTTAACACTGCTGCAGTCAATGGCAGCGTCGCAGCGGCTACGTTCAGGCATAATTTCCTGCGCTGACAATCGAGAATTATGTTCGAATTTCTGAAGTGGACTTTGTCTCTCCAGAAGCAATACTTGCAGTCGCAATCAGGCTATAGCTTACTATAGCTTAGCGAAGCCCGCCTCAGTTAAATCGTTGAACTGTGCTCGCATTTGCCCGGAGACTGCCTTCAAGGAGTAGAGTATAACCGCTCTATTATAAAATGTTGCTAATCATCCTGTTTTCAGGATGAGAAAGATTCTGCTACAATAGCTAAATGTGTGGGAGGTGTATTATATCGTCTGAGAAAAGCCGGAGCTTTGAGATCAATAAGGGAGGAGTTTATGTAGGTTTAACGCTTACGCTTTTTGCTCTTTTTGCACAGCCTCTCACGCAGAGTTGCTGTAATTTCTAAATAATGAACAACACGAGAGCGATTTGAATGTGCACTCAAAATCTTCATTTCTTTTGTAATAACCTTGCCTGGTTACATCAAGAGGGATTAGATACAAGATATCATCATGGTTGTCAGTAGCTCTCAGGAGAGCAGTTAAAGGCAGTGGATCGGCAAAATCCAACAGCTCGGGATTTTAACGCGTTAGGTTCCTTATGGCCCAACTATGAAAAGAGTGCAATCCCTGTTGCACAGCATGCTTTCCCTGCCGAGAAAATGCTCTCAAACTTATACGCGCAGGCCAATCTTACACGCAACTGGACGAGTTGGCAATTTCCTTCTCACCATTGGAGGCTGCCCGCCACAACGCTATAACCATTGGGTCCTGCAACGATTTAGCGCCATCGGCCTTGCTCCACTGGTCCAATTTCAAAGGGAAGGGCATTAAAAAACGCTTATTTTCGACGTTTTCAAGCTTTCAGAAGTGCATTTTCGGGATGAGCGCATTGAATAACCTCAGGTAAGCGCATTGACTAGGTTGAGATTTGGCGAGCCATTGCCTTTAACGGTCAGAGGGGCAGTAATAGTTACGAGGTCACTAAAAGAAGGCTCTATTCATTCAAAACTTAGCTTGACGGCTATTCATAACAACCTTCGCATAAACTTTTTCAGGCGCACAAGGAATTACATACCACAAGGTCCTAAAGAAGCTTTCTTAGCGAACGAATCGAGAAATCGCTACAGAGATGTTTTACTGTTAGACAATACTCGCGTAGTGTTGAAAAACAGAAGTGAGTCAGCCTTTTATTAATATTTTTCGTAAGAGAAAAGATTTTTTTTGTCAATATCAAAAAGCATTGAATGTGCATTGCTACAGCTTTCACAGCCTAATTTGTCCGATTCACCGCAAGGCTCGAAGTTAGGTCCGATAAAAGAGTGACAGAACGAAGTCCCCTTTCACTTTGCAAGAAAGCACGACATTTCGTATGGGGTGCTTGAAAAGAAAAAAATTGATAAGAATGAAGAGCTAATCAGAACAGACAAAAAATATTGAACACGCAACAAAAAAACTGATGATGTTCGCATTTTTTTTGCAGCATGCTGTGTCCGACGCGCCCCACCGCGCGCTTGAAACAAGGTGCTACCATGCTGCCACTAGGGTATTAGGATATTTATACTCTGCCAACAGTTTCACAAGTGTAAAACTGCTGTTTAAACAAACCGATTTTCAGTCAAACTCACTCCTGAGCATCTACAAGACGAGCACAAGACTGTACGCATTGTAATTTTCTAACTTTTTTCTAAATAGTATGGTACATATGTGGAAACAAAAAGTATGTATAACCCAAGCATTATGCTTGCCTCTTCCCCTCTGACTCGTGCTTGGGTGTAGATGCGTTTTGGGAAGAGCTGACTTTTCAGTGTCTGCATTAGCAGTAGGGTATCGCAATTCCGCACATGGTTTGTAGCCCGCAAATGACCCGCAGGTACCATAAACGTGGTTGCCTTTCGTTCGTTTAAACACGTTAGCTTCAGCAAATTTAACCCATTGAAGACGACGCCTAATTTTGCGTGGCGCGCCATGGGACGACGCAATTTTGTACAACACCTTCGACGTGGGAAAGTTTTGTGATTGTTCACGTGATGTGTGGCGACTCGGTGGGCTCATGGCACCTAGATGTTACCCGAGGCCTGATGCTCGCCCGATACTAAACGACGTACCTAGCCTACTGCGCACTAACGCGCGACCGAACTGAACGCAAAGATAATTAAGTAGTTTATCCTTATGACACTAAACTACAGTTAAAATAGATAAAAAGAATACTACACTAAAACAAAACAAATACTACTACTACTAAAACACGGGACGAGGGCCCGTCCCATGCTACCGATGCGCGTCTGCAGATAATCTCAAAGAAATACATGTGGCTCTCGAGGTTTCGCGCAACAAATCCACCGCGCAACGCCAAGTTGTAGACGACGGCACTAGATGATTTCCGGATAGTACTAGGCGCGTCGACTTGCGCCAACAAAAAGGGAATCCGTTTTCTAATCCAAAAGACATCCGGCTCAACTGCTCTTACAAAAAAGGACAGGAGCATGGCGGCTGAAACGTAATTCGAACAAGAAATGAAAATCAATCGATTAAAACAAAGACGAACAAGGCACCCAAGTGAGGCGCCGCCGCTTTATATAGCCGCCTGGCTGGCAATGAGCCAATTAAGGAGAGGTCCGGAGACGATCGCGGCAACACGCGTCTCGGATACCGTAATCGTCGCCGGATAGCGCGGTAACCGATGCCCCCGGCCTCCATACTTCGAGGAGCGCCTTGCATCGCGAGACGCGACAAGATGTAAAGTTGTTTTGTAAACAACTACAATCATCTTCTTGGACGACGAAATCCACAGGTTCCAAGAGTGCAAAGAAATTAAAAGAAATACTGAACTGTGGAAAAAATACTAGACCTGGAAAGCGTATGATTTTGCAAGGGCTGTGGGCCACAGGTGGTCCACATCGCGTCAATTGGTTAAGTCGCTCAAAGGCAGCCTTCTGGCAAAAAGATGGGTGCCGAGTTTTTGTGGCGATGGTAAAGTAGACCCCCTATCTAAGCGATGACTGAAGTTCGGAGCGAATGATTGGTCTACCAAGCCTGAAATTTGCTCCGAAAGTGGCCCGAATCTTACGGTAGGCCCGGACGCCGCCACACAGCAATATCGATTTGCCAGGCCAGAGTGCGTACAGTCGAGTAGATTTTCTGCTTAATATAGTGTCCCTGCAGACGCGACAACGCTGGGGCGTCAATAAATGCCTTGGGAGTCCCGGAGCTAGTGTTTTCCAGTATTTTCTTTGCTTATTTCATGCCTTTTAGTTGATTCGTTGCTGATGAAGAGGAAAAGGGTAAGTTTAAAGAGTAGTTTCTGTTTTCTGAGAAGTTCTATCATCGCATATTCACAGATATCCACGTGGAAGCATTTCGCGTCAGCTTCTTGTCTATTTTTTTCTTGCCATTCCCTTTTCTTCTGTCACTTCTTCTTTCGAACCTCCTCCTTCTTGTGAGGCGTTTCTTTGAACGCTAATTGGCTTGTCCTGCAGCACCTTCGGCTTTCACCCATAAGAAATAGCATTTTAATCAAGTACTTCATGTGATAAAGACAATAAGTCAATCGTAAAAACCCACTAGCGTTCAAAGAAGAAAGAGACATGAAGTGACAAAAAAATAGACAAGAAGCTTAGGCGAACTGCTTCCACGTGGATATCTGTGAATATGCGATGATAGAACTTCTCAGAAAACAGAAACTACTCTCTAACTTACCCTTTTCTTCTTTATCAGCAACGAATCACCTAAAAAGCATAGAATAAGCAAAGAAAACACTGGAAAACACTAGATCGGGAACTCATCAGGCAATTATTGACGCCCCAGCGTTGTCGCGTCTGCAGGGACACTATATTAAGCAGGAAATCTACTCGACTGTACAGCGCACACAGTCATGAGCGCAGGGTCCCGCAACGACTCTGCGTCTCTACCTTGCATGCATCTCGCACTCCCCGAGCTTACCGTAAGATTCGAGCCACTTGAGGGGCGATTTGTAGACTTCGAGACCCCCTTTCGCGCTGCAAGCTTCTGTCGTCGCTTAGTTAAGGAGTCTATCATTGCATTACTACCAGAGCCAGGTACTCTCAGTCTGGTGGGACGCTGCCTTTAATCGAAGATGACTAGTTGAAACGATCGAAAGGCAACTACGTTAATGGTACCTACGAGAACATTTCTGGGGAACAGATGATATGCTGTGCTGCAGAACAGCCGTCTTCCTAGAAGTTAAAATAACCCTGACTATTTTGCATGTGTATGGAAGATAAAAAGCGAGCGAAACAGGTTGCAATAAAGTGTCAAGTGTAGTTAAATCTTCTAAAACGGTGTGCTTGCCAGCAACAAATGAGGCAAAGCCAGATTACTGCACGCTGCATTGGTTAAAGGCTTCGTTTCAAATTGTAGTGTACTTATAAGTGCTTATAAAAGCAAAGTTAGCGTGTAATATCTTTGCTTTCGTAAGTCCCAAACAGTCTAGATTCTTAAGGCATAAGATTCTTTCTGAGAAAAATTAACATTCAAAGCTGAAAAGCGATACTAGGAAGTTATTGTATTTTTCAGGCAGCGATTACATACATGCAAGTAAAGTAATGGTAGGAAGCAATGTATTTATCTGCACGCAAGGACCACTAGAAAATACAGTTGAAAGTTTTTGGGCTATGGTATTCCAAGAAAACGTGAAGGTATGTAATGTTGTTATTGGAAAAAAATTGTAAATGAGAATAGATGTTCATGATATTCGTAATAATTCTACGAAAATGCTTGAGGAAGCTAATAAAAGACTCCCAATTCCTCATCTCACATGGTTTCTGACTGCGTGAAGCTCTGTACTGTACAAAAACTGTGCTAGCAGACTCCATCTCTACTAGTAAGACAAACATTTGAACTAAAAAAGGGTTGAAAATGTCATTAGGTCGCTTATCAAGTTGTAGGTGTTGAATATAGATAAGTATCAGATTATGTAGGATTGTGCTGAAAATCAAAACTAGAGTAAGGGAGAGAGAGAAAGAAAGCATGAATATTTTGATTGCACTTCATTCTGAGAAGCGTAGGGATAAAGTCGAAAAGGTAAAAAAGGTGAACCATAGTTGGGAATAGTCAAAAAGAAGAAGATCCTGAAAATGGCGTTGCTGGAGAAGCCGTGAAGGGTATCAAGTGCAGAATTTTAGGAGAGGAGAATAGTGTAAGAAAACCTAGGTAATTTTCGAAAAAAACTTGGGAGAATTTGGGAATTTTGATAGAGCTTCTGGAGAATGAGGGAACACTTGCTGGTTTTGCCAATTAGAACAAAGGGAGCGAGACATTGTAAGGTAATGGTGAGACTCAAACAGAGCGATTGTTTCGCTTTTAATCACCATACTCTGAGCAGCAATCAGCTCGTTGATATCGCAAAACACCGCTGATATCGCATCGTCTCTTAAGTTAGTGCCGTTAATTGTGCATAAAGCAATTTTGAAGTTAGACTGGCTGGACCGCCATACTACATTACCTAATTTCAGTTGATAGTCCAACTATGTCGTTTTTCGGAGGAAGGCAAAGAGAAATGCTATGAATACTTACCAAGAAATGAAGGTTTGTACGTTATTGCCGATGTTCACTGAGATGTTGATGTTTCTTAGGAATAATGGTATTTGGAGATTTTGTAATTGAATGCATTTGTCGTAACAAACTCCCCGAAACGGATGGAGCCACCTGTGGATTATTGGAGGTCAAAAGCAGAGGAAGGAAAGAGCAGGTAATAAAATATTCTGGACCGAGGGTGAACAATGAACGGCTTGGACGGTGACATGAACACTCTTTCAATCGAATCGATTGAAATGTGTAATTTCCGAAATATAACGACTGGTGTTGATATGTATTTTGTAGTTCTGAGCCTCTGTGCGAACTGACATTTCGGCAAGTTACCTTCTTCGAAGTCTGGGTTAAAGATACTTGCAAAATGTTAGAACGAATGTTTCTACAGCCAGCAAACAAAGCTTCAAAATATTGATAAGGCTAGGTAGTTCACCAAGCATTTCCCTTTAAAAAACCTGCTTTCTGTCAGAGCGATCACTAACGGATTGGCGTGTATGTATGGCCAATTATTATGTCTCCGCCGGATCAGGGAGTTGGCGCAAGTAAGAAGCGAGTTCGTGTGGAATGATTGAGTATTCTTCCTTGCGCTTCATTTTGGGAGGTTTAGTATGAATCCAAATTGTATCTAAACGAGTTGAGTTGATGCGCGAGTTGATGCGGTTCATGCAGCAGGACTTTCACTGAAACTACAACGTTGTCTTGACATGTTTGTTTTGCCAGTCTCACAGCTTATGATCAGGGTTGAGCGTGGGGTCAGGCGCGCCCGACCTGGGGTGTTTTTAAAGCCATCTCAATTAATCTCCTTTCTTCTTTTTTGCGGGTAATGTAGTGGATAAACTCAGTTAAGGAATGAAATTTCTGATACGAATTGGCCGAGCTAATGTCGTCAGAATAAAAATGAAATGGCGGGCTTCAAATGTTACCCCTTTTTCTGCAGCAGATACATTGACGATTGTTTCAAAGTTTGAGCAGAAATGCCAGTTTGAGCAGAAATGTGCAATTGATTCAAATACTTAGCGAGCCTCTGCGTTTATACAGTCTGCCCCAATCGGGATCAGCCCGAGCCGTTGGGATGAATTGCGCGCTCGCAGCGCTAGGAGTTCGCGCCGCATATGCACACCTAGGGCCGCATGCACTAACATCCCTGCGGCGAGGGGAGCGGCGTCCCTAATGATGAAAAAGCCGCAGCGGCGTCCGCACGCGGTCCCTTCATAACGGGGGACGCCGCTCCCCTCGCCGCAAAAATGTTAGTGCATACGGGCCCTAGAGATCGAAGAGATTTCAGACAAGCGTTACGGATGCGTGACGCAGCGATGCGGATTCCTGCTATGCCAATTTTGGCCTGATTAAGATTGGGAGACTGTAGTTCAGAGGGTAAAGCCTAGGATGGGTAATTACATTGTTGAATGCATCGACAAATACTTTCTGCCTCATTTGAGTGAGCCTGGCTTAAGAAGCTCTAATGCGCCGTCCCTCCTTTGGGTTTGCACAGATTTCGCAAACTTGTTCTCTGAGATTATTCGCATCTGGCGATTGAAATTCAAAGCTGAGCCCTTTTCCTACTCTCGGGCGTGGGAAACGAACACGTTTGACAACGCGGCGCAGGACCAGGGCGAAACAGGTTGTGAGGAACTGAGCTTGTAGCTTACGTACATTCTGAGCGCGCACACAACAATAAGAGTTCAACTCCATACTTGGGTCAAAGATCCTTGACATCATGTGGCCCTAGCTCGTTCTGGCATCGATCTATCGGTCTTCCGAAAGGTGAGCGTTTGGTTGCACTGCTAGCTGCTGATCCATCTCAGTCTACAAACTTCTTGCACCTGCAGAGAAGTTTGGTCAAATATTTTACGAGCCGTACTATCCATTTCAGGCTTTGAAGAAGGCTAGCTGCCAAAACACCAGTCAATCAACTATCAGCAATAGCCCATCAACGCTCAGAACTACAAACTACAATGAACCAAAACATTTTGGCCACCAATTCCCTACATATTGCAGGTGGAGCATATCTTGTATGAAAACTGGTATGATCACGCGGCGCCCGAAAATTTCAATGCTTCATTCGAACTCATCCAGATAGCAAAGAGGAAACGAAAAAATGCTCCTGTCGTAGTACATTGCTCTGCAGGTACGTAATACACCGTGATGGTCCTTACGAAGCCGCAAAAACACAAAAAGACTGCGCTAATTATCTTATCAGCATGGTTTCAATCTCAATGCATCTAGCCTCCATGTTGTTTTCAACACTGAAGTACGATCAGCTCCAGATGCTTCAATGACTTGCCATTTGCTGAGCTTCTAGATCATGCAATCCAAAGTCCTAGGGCAGAATTCGGGCCCGTATGCACGTACATCCCCGCGGGGAAGGGATGTGCGCTTAACATTGAAATGATCCCCGCTGGGGCTCCCCTCCCTTCCCCACGCGAACCCCCGTATGAAAGGGATAAAAGTAAAAAAAAAAGTAAAGTAAAGTAAAAGTTATAAAGGTTAAAGGTATAGGTTATGAAGCTTAAAGGTTATAAAGTATAACCCAAAGGCAATACCGGAGAGGGGATCTCCTGGAAGTAGGGGAAGGGAACCTCCTTATGCAGAAGGGGGGATCGAGCGGGGAAATCATTTCACTTCCGCTTTTTGTGGTAATCACTCCTCTTTTCTCATCTTTTGGTAGCTACTCGCCTCCAGCATGTCATCGGCAATATTTTACTCGTTGCGAATGCCATCGCCCATCATTGCGCTCGACGCAACAAAAAAAATTCCTACGCACAATATATGCTGTTTTCAAGAATGTTGCTCACTTTCGCTAATGCTGCACATTTCAGCGTAAAGTGTCCAAAATTAGAAGTCATGATGTCTCTACAGTGAATGAATAGAATATGTTATGCTGCCGAAAAGGGGGGAGGGGGAGGGGGAGGGTGCCGCAGACAGTCAAACTAGAATTTCCACACATAAAAGAGATTGCAAATCGTGCTAGCTTTTCATGGAAGCAGTAACTATTAGCGACATGCCGTCCATTCCTCCAAGGGAATGATCCCCAGCGGCCATTCCTGCTATGCACGAGGGAATGCTGGGGAAGGGATCACTCCCCAGGGTATCACTACTCAGAATTAGGCAAATCTGCTATTTTCTAGATTTTTTCAAGGCAGCTTATGTTAGATTAACAAGGTAGGAGTAATATATCATGTAATACGATAGTTACAATGTATCTGATCAGCCTATCTGGCTAAAACTATTATGTCATTTGAAAAATGCGCAAATCTCTTGAACTTTCAAGAACTCCTACAAATATTCGAGAATGGCAGCTATTATTGCTTGTTTTTCTTTTCAAGAGGGGAATTTAGAAGAGAGACAAGATTGCAAGCTACAGGGCGCTGAGAGGGGAATCCGGCTTTCAAAGGAAATCTTTCATCAAATTGAACGAATTGCTTGGTAATAGTTGATTAAAACCAGAATATTCGCTTCTCTGGCATGATATACACCATCGAACCCCTACTCCGTTGCAAGGGATGTCGGTTCTCTCCCCCGCGCTGTTGAGCTACATTCGTACATATGGGGAGGGGAGGGGAAGGGATCCCCACCAGGGTCCGCCCGATCGAAATCCCTGAAATTAAATACCGAACTTGTGGCAGCGAAAGAGTACCGCAAAGAAATGGCTAGCAAGCGTTGAAAAAAGAACACAGAAACTACAAAACTGCACACTCATGAATTCTTCTATGAGAAAAGTAAGCCATAACATAAATGCGAGGAAACTGCTAAATAGAATCACACCACTTCAGAAATCAACATTATACTACGACAGCACTACATTATACTACAAGTATAAGAAACCCTTAAAAGCAGTAATAGGGAGAAGAAGAAGACAGCGATGGGGGGAGATACAATGGGAAGGGTGAAAAGAGAAAAAAAAGAAGACTGAGAAAAGGAACAAAGGCACTCGAAATCACTATTCTTGTATTTCTCATCCCAAAAGCCATTTAGCACACAAAAAATGGCTGAAAATAGCTTTTTTGGCGAGATGTTCACGTAGCCGTGAGCTAGATGCGACTACCGCAATGACATCTTCCCCGCTGTGGGTGCAGGGGAGAAAATAGCTCCCCTCCTTTCTGGCATAGCGGGGTTCAATTATGGGGATCGCTCTTCTGGGCCAGCTCCCCTCCCCTCCCCAGCGGGGATGTACGTGCATACGCCTAAAGGACAAGTGCGGGGAAACGGATATTTTTTAATTTCTATTTTTGACCGGATAATTCAAAGATCTAGTGGTCAGCGAAAGAAACTGAACTAGACAGCCATCTTTTATTTCGAGTGAGCAAGCCTCCTTGATTTTTGGCAATTGGTGATTACTTGCAAAATGTTTCGCTAAAATCCAGTTAAATTTGTTTGCTCCAATCGCTCAGCCTCTCCAAACAGAACATTGGATTCAAAAATAATCGAAAGAAATAAATAAAATAATCGAATAAATTTCTCAACAAACAACTGACACATAAGGATTTATATTTTTCCTCCCAAAGATACTTTGTACGGGTATGGGAAGGCACACTGAGCGATTATGAAATTTTATACATGCTGTCTAACGGCAACAGGTGCGCGTATTGCAACCGCAACGACATGCGTGCGAATTAACATCTTACTCAGGAATGAAGGATTTGAAGTTTTCATCGTTTTATGCCTGTTTGTTTCTAATTCTCTTATAAATATTTAGGAGCTATGACTGTTATGCGTAGGCATAGCATAGCTGGGATGCCAGCCCGCGCATATTAGTGTAGCTGCGCTGCGCGGCCTTGTTGCCGTTAGTCGCATATTACACTACGAGAGGTGAATGACAGACACAACTGAATGGCTGATGTGTAGCATCAAAGTCGACTCTCATGGAAGACTGGATTTCTTTTGCGCAAAAGTTCAGTATTAATAAAAGGAAAGCAGAGTTTGAAGCCCGTACAATGGGGAAATGTTAAGTTAAAATGTTGGGGGAAAAGCCAAGAAAAGACTCTGAGAAACGTTACCAGCAGAGAGTGTCTGCTTGAACACTCGCGCCTCTATAAGAAAACATTAAAGCACTGACTTGGTAATCGTCCGGACCTCAAAAGGCGCTGTAATAGACTCGCACTCGCACTCACTCAAGCACAGGCAACTTCGACTATAAAGCAGAGCGCGTTTGCGCCGAAAGATAAGAGACTAATCAGGCAAATGAGTGAGCGCAAAAGTTGGTTGAAAATGAATCCTTTGCTGAAAAAAAAACAATTATGGCACTTAAACTAGATACCAATCATGCCTTGTTGTTTTCTTGACAATATCAAGCAGACATGTTTACAATGACAGACCTAAACTCCAATCAGCTCGACATTATCATCTTGCATGCATATTTATATACTTACGGCAATATATCTTTTCACAGGAGTAGGTCGGACGGGATGCTTCGTCGGAGTTGAACTGGCAGCTCACTGGGCTGCAACAAAAAAGACCTTGCAAATGGATTTGCTGCTGAAAGAGTTGCGAGATCAGCGGATGCACAGCGTACAAACTGACGTGGTGAGCAAATGATAAGTGTAATCATTAGATATAGATGACATATAACAGAAAAACTTGAGGATTTGGTTTAGACAGGCAGGTTCTTGTAATGTGCTACTACAAATTTGACTTCTATAGGCGATCCGAATATAGGCAGTTATGAACCATTTTAAGCTGGGCTTTCGGGGTTCGACTTTGTCAATAGAAGACTGATACACTGTATTTCTAGTTTCGATTCTGACATTGCAACTGTGGCCATTGCTACAACAAGGGAAGGATACCAACATTAGTCGCCGATTAAAGATGAAATGCACATCAGTAGACACGTCTTTAAACGCTGATTCCAAACCTGCCTTCCTTTCTTGCAAAACAAGTTTTCGAAAGAAGTTATAAGCGTTTGAATGTCCACATTTGTTAGGGTTTAGGTGGCCTAAAATTGGCGAAAAGCTATGCAAAAACACCGAGAGATGGAACATCAGTTTTGTATCAAGTATTTTGTTTGCAAAAAAGGAACAAAGCCGGTAGAAATCGCATACTATTTTAGAGTTTTTCGCCAATTTTAGGCCACCTAAACCTTGGCAGATTTGGACATACAGACGCTCATAACTTCTTTCGAAAACTTGTTCCTCAAAAAAGAAAAGCATATTTGGAATCAGCGTTTAGAGGCGCATATAATGATATACATCTCCTCCAATCGCTGATTAATATTAGTATCCTTCCCTTGTAAGTCAATGCATGCATTCAACAGCGGGGCTGACTGCCGCTGTTCAGTCAACATAATAATTGTTGAATACGAGAGTGTTGTCTGTAATTTCAGCAGTACCTTTACATCTACCGAGGTCTTATTGAATATCTCATACGGAAAGGAGTAACAAGAAGGTTGGATGTATCTAAGTTTGTGAATGACTACGACAGTTTAATAAAAAGAAGAAAGACTAAAGGTTGGTTTTGTATTGTGCACTTCTAAACTGCCGGTCCCTTTCGCAACTTATTTTCACTCACTTCATTTACTAACTACATCCTGAATGCGCAGTGTTCGAACTATCAAGCTACTGCATAAGTTCTGTCCGATCTGAAATTAATTCAGAATGTCATGACTTCTTTGCAAATCAACTTTTTTCCGTGATTATAGTTTTGTTGTGTTGAGCAGTTCTTTGGCTATCAGAGTAATAATAAGACTTGCGGGAAACCCTACTAAAAAGAAGCGAAAACTCAAAAACTTCGCAGCCTTCTTCAAACTTGTCTTTTTGGCTGGCAATGCTCCCTTATGAGAACTGAAAAGCATATCAGATAACCATGGATAGGTAGAGAAATTTTCGTAGATTACCTTGCGTTCTCAAAGGGCCCATAAGGTCTTTGGTGCAGAGATTTTTTTTGATCGAACGAAAAAGAAGCCGCTTTTTGACCATTCTTCAGCACATGTGTTGATGCCTTCTCAGACAATTGCATCGGGAAGTTCGCGGGTGCTTGCTCGGCCATCAATCATCCATGCCGCGAGCTGCCCGGTATAAACCGATATTGGACCCGATGAGTGACCGCGGCGCATCCTGTCAGCGCCCGATAGTTGACCCGATTAGCATGCTTGTGAGACCTAGGAAGAGTGAAGAAATTTTGGCCTGTCTTTCATGACAACTACTGAGTACAAATTGAGCAACTTGTTGGCTCATCTGTCACATCATCTAATGTCGTCGATAACACTCAACCGATTGCTGAAGTTTGTTTTGTGAGCATATAATCTCAACTGTCACACAGCCCAACGAGAAGCGATTACCAGCCCCACAAACACTTAGGATAGCCCCATCGCTGCGGTGTACCTCACGCGGGTTCTGCCTTAAGCTACAGCGTGTAAGAAGTGCGGCCTTTGATAAGGCCCGCGACACGCCGAGTGAGGTGATTGGGCCGCGACTCTCCCGATAAGCTCTTTCCAATTTTAACTTGGCCGCGGCGTTCCCGGTAAAGTATACATGGGCCGCGGCGTGCGCGGCTGAAATTTTAAGGGCCGCGGCGCACCATGTAATACGCTTTGAGGCCGCGAACTTTCCGATGCAATTGTCTGAGTTACGAATTATGAAAATTTTACATTTGACGCGAGCGGTGAGAAGGAATTGCCGGGTGGGCCCCGCTGACTCTTGCTTTATTCTAGCACCTTTTAATATGAACTCATCGACTGGTTCTATTCGCAGGAAGTTATCGCTTTTAGAACATTCTTACAAAAAATGAATTTTCGACAACAAATTTTGCGAGCAAGACGTTTTCTTCATGAAATCGACCTTGTGCATAAACAAGACTGTTACACCCTTATTCGGCAATCAATGAAAGGATTTGCCTTGAGCGGCGCACTGCGGAGATTTTCTTGCAAGAACATATCTCTCAGGTGAGAACGTATCTCGGCCGCTTGAATATCTTATGTTAGGCCTGCAATCTCGCTGACCTGGTAAATTTATCGAATTTTGATGTGTATTAGAAAGAACAAAAAAAGGGCATTCTAACGATGGGAACAGTATCGCATTAAATGTGAAATTCTCTTGGAACATTTGCTTCAAGCATAAGGCAAAAAAAATCGAACAGAACTTATGTAGCAGCCTGGTAAGTCTAAAAATTAGGTTGGCACATAAGTAATGCAACTTTTTATGCAACTTTTGTCTATTTGAACGTAGCGCATTCATTTTTTGGCAATATAAGGAATATGATGTAAGCTTCTAATGCTCACATTTTTGCCATCTTATGTGAGAATTACGGTAGGTCTACGGTACTATGGGAAGAATTTTAGAATGCATCAGATTTTGCTGACTTGGCCTATAGGGCTTATTTGACATGCTGATCAAATGAGATCCGTTTCGCATGAAAAGGCCTCGTTCGTGAGTTCAAAAGATGATTTATTTTGGGACAAATGAATATGATTTTCGTGTTTACCGCATAGGATTACCCTATAGTGTAAAGTATAGCGAATTCTGACTTTTCGCAGCTTAGTTATTGACAAATTGTTTTCAAAACTTGACGCATTTGACTTGTTCAACTTCTCAAAGGCACCCCATCTTAATTTGTGTTTAACTTTCATTTCTTTTTCACTGATTCCAATGTGCCAACTTCCAGCTACATGCTGCCTGTAATTGCTTTTTCATATGTTTGAATCAGGTTTCGTAGGGCTTCATGTTTGCCAAAAAATCGTAAAACCTCGATTTTCAGCATTTTCAAAAAAATGCTTAGAGTTTTTGTACTACGTTATCAAAAATCAAACCGTTTGCGCAGACTTGCAGCTTACATCACGATCTACATGATGCCACAGAATGAGATTGCTACATAAAATAGGAAAAAAGTTACGGGAAAAGTTGCCAAACTTATGTGCCAACATAATAAAACAAAGATTTCATCGCGATTTCTCAAAATAGCACTTCAACGGTGTCAAAAGTAAATTCTGTGCTTTCCTTGCTTTCGAGAAAAGTCGATGCTAGCGGCGGACATGTAGATAGTAGCGAGTTAGCAAGTCCGAGTAAAAATGTCTACCATACGATGCCAGTATGATGTCATGGTCTGCGCTGTCAGACAGAATTCTTTGAGATTTGAAATATTCTAAGGAAGTTGATCTGCTTGGTGGTTTATAATGTTGTACCCTTCTTGAGTAGTAAAACACTGCGTGTGGTGCAATTGGCGTGATTCTTTTTTTTTAAGTCTCATACACAATCACTTACCTATACCATTTGATCCAACTGGTTTGCTCCGGAATGAGGGGCTTCGTGACCTAGTTGAGGCTAGGTAATGATCAGAGGCACTCGCGCGAGGGAGACGCAGGTGCGTCGCGGGCGCGAGCGGCCTTAATTGAGCCACAGGGCTCTGCCTTCCCGAAGCCAAGCCAGTTGAATCAAAGGTTATCTGTTTCTTGGTCGCTGCAACGAATTAGTCACCTTTTCTGCTGATTCATCTCTTCAGTTTAAGCTCTACATAATTCGTTTTTTTTTTCAGAGCAAGATAAAGAAAACCTATCACTTGCTGTAAAAGAAGGCAGATCGAAAGATTATTGTCCTTCAGTATATTTCATCTTATAATAGTGTGCATTACCAAACGGAATTTAGTGCAACAATTTCCAATTCATTACATTACTGTGTAACGCAATTATTGCTAAAAATTGTTCATTGAGTGTTGATCGGCGTCATGATCGAATTGTGGAATAAATAAATTGGATAAGTATGCACCTGCTTCTCTGGGTCCAACACAGCAGTCGTGGAGTCGCGCTGAGCTTTGTTATCGGGAAAAAGCAAAGCGGTATCGTCAGACATGTTAGTAGGCATTTGAGCCGCGATTCGTATCTACTAACACACCCTTTGAAAATAGGTTATTTACTCTTTTGACGTGCTCTACCGTGATCTTCCACGATGCGCTCCATCTGAATGTAAAAATTTCGTTTGTTTACGCTTATTCCAATCATATGCCACCACATTTAACCTGTATGCATGCTTTATTGCTTACTCACTTGGCAGTGGCGTACCCAGAATTTCCGCTCGGGGGGGGGGGGGGGGGGCGACAAAAGCCCCCCCCCCGAAAAATTTTTTTTACGAGGCTATTTTGAATTTTTAAAAATTTTTAAAAATTATTTTAATTATTTACGAGTGTAAACAAGTCACTTGCATATTTTTATAACCCATACAAGTAACTTTCAAAAATTTCGCGACCCCCCGCCCCCTCCACCCCTCTCGGTACGTCACTGTCACTTGGACACTTTAGATGGCCCGGCTTCACATTGCGGGCTCCAGCACAGGATTTTCCGCTTATCCCTATCCCTCGCCTCAGACATCCACGATCTTCTTGGTTGTCGTCGGTGGCTGCGTCCACAAGCTCCAAGGGCGAAAGTCGTGTCCAGCTAATTTCTCAGCTAATCCATCCGTTCCACGAATATGTCTGTCCATCTCACTGGTCGTCTTCCTCAGAGCTGTTTTACTTCGCGAGGATTTCCATCTGTCGTCTGTTCTCTCATAATGTGACCGGCCCATCGATGGTTCGCTTTCGCGACGTATTCCGCTGGGTCACGAGGACAAGACATCCTTCTCAGATCCGCTGCGAAGTCCGACAAGATGTTGTTTATGTCGGGTCATCTTTAGAAGTTTACGCTCTAGCGCTCCATGGGTGGTCCTTAGAGATATCCATGTGGCTACGGTGTCAGCCCAGGTCTCATCTGCGTAATAGAGCGCTGGGATAACGTTGAGTCGAACATGTGGGCACGAAGCTCCGGGTCCGTCAGTTTGTCGGTGGCTTCCTTCAGTGGCCCAAAAGCGGCCCAGGCTAGTCTTCTTCTTCTCCGATTGAGTTTTCCCCTCAAGTCGTTCTCCATGTTCATCAAACGTCCGAGAAACACCTAAGAAGACGTCTCATTAGGGGTGCTTTCCAATTCCAATTCTGCATCTCAAAAGGTGAATGCTATAAGGCAGTCCTTGTAGCAGTCGGCTGACGTCCTCACGTAAACTGAGTCCACTCATTGATCGACTGGCGTTGACAGGATGGCGTTGGTTTCGACGCTGTTAGAAGCTTTCTCGTAGTCGACGAAGGTTAGGGCAGAGGCAGTCGATGTTCCCGGCAGACTTCCATGGCTCTCGAAACCGTTTGGATGTGGTCCATGCATTTGAATCCTTTGCGGACAGTATACTTGGGTAATTCGAAAATTTTTTATCGAATGAATGAATATCGAATAAATTTGAAGAGGAAAAATTTCGAATAAACGAATATTGAATAAATTCGTAAATGAAAAATCTCGAATAAATGAATATCGAATAAATTCGAGGTTCAAAAATTCTCGAATGAATGAATTCCGAATAAATTCGGAAAATCAAAAATATCGAATGAATGAATATCGAATATATTCGAACATTGGTAGTCGAATTTCGAATAAATATTCGAATGATTTATAGAATAGTTAGAGCTACTCAAACTTGCCGATATATCTGGCTAAAGCCGATCCATTCATAATCAGCACCCTCGTACCCCTCGTATACCAACTCCTAGCTCAAAATTTTCCAAAAATCGCTGAAATCGATAAAATAGATTTCATTTTTAATCAGCATCCTCATTTACCCCCTGTACCAACCCCCAACCTCGTGTCTCAAGATTTTCCAAATCGACAAGATCGATAAAGTAAATTTTTATCTGTAACCAGCACCCTCACTTACCCCTTGTGCCAACTCCCAGCCCATGGCTCAAAGTTCTCCAAAATGATAAAATTGATAAAATAGAAATTTATTCATAATCAGCACCTTCACCTACCCTCCTCTACAAACTCCCAGCCTCATAGCTCAAAGTTCTCCGAAAATCGATAAAGTAAATTTTTATCCATAATTAGCACCCTCACTTACCCCCCCCCCCCCTGTAGCAATTCCCAGTCCATATTCATCGGAGACTTACGTCTTGTGTGTATAGGCTAGTCGTAGACGAAGGCATGTGTTTATTCCGCGAAGCGAATCCCCCTGTAGCCCCGGGCATACTGCAGGCATTTCAGTAGCGACGCGCTTTGGCAATAGTCAAATTGTTCATAGTTTATCGTTCGGATCCAAAAGTAGAGAATGCAGGGCACTTATCTGTTCAGAAAGTTGTACACGCTACACAATTGTGGTAAGCTGGCGTTACATTTGAAGACATCTCGTAAATGGCACATCGCGTATGGCTATCGCGTGAAGTATCTCATAATCAAAGCTCGCATTTCTCAATGTGGACCTTATTCGTCGGCCTTTAGCCTTTACCATAGTTGACAGGCTGATAGCTCTTGGTGTTAAAGTGCTTGCAAGCCTCCGTGAAAATCTTTGATGTACTGTGATAACAGAACTATCATGTACTATCTACTGAACAGAAGTTCATTGCGAGGTGATATAATTGCAAAATTCAGCGACCGTCTAATCCTCCACTACAGCTGCGACGTCCTTTATTCAAAATGAACCAGTTCGCAAAAAATCTCTAAGGTAGCGAATAGAGGCAGTTGTGCAATATAACTTATGCGAGCAAGAGTGCTCACTGGTGTGGGTCTGCGTACCACAACCATAAACAATGCAAAGAAAGAAAAACAGGCATTTCAGACACTAATATATGGACTCGTAACATGAGCTTGAATTTGATAGCTTCTTTACTGATTTGGTGCCAATAGCAGTGCGAACAATCTCATTGATCGAAAAAGCACCAATTAAAATCCAGATATGATTTTTTTACTGTCGCAAGCAGTCGGAAGAATGCGACTCTCCATACAGTTCAAAGTTCATAACGGTTGCAAAAGCTGCATTACAAAGTTTTGCGAAAAAAACGCGGACGAAGTGAGCTTGATACTCAGCAGTTAGCTCTGCAACAAAGTCGAATAATCTGAATGCGGAGTTCATTCGAATACGAATTCGAATAAACATTCGAATAAAACATTCGAATAAAATCTATTCGAAACCCCGTTTTTTGATTATTCGAGTTTTCGAATAATATTCGAATCCTCGTTTTTTGATTATCCAAGTTTTCGAATTTTATTCGAAACCCCGTTTTCTCAATTATTCGAGTTTCGAATATTATTCGAAAATGGAATAACACCGAATATCGAATTTCGAATACGAATATATTCGAATGTTTTATTCGAATGATCGAATTTCCATTCGACTCGGACCCAAGTATAGCGGACAGTAGTTCCGAAGATCCTCCCGTTCACCCTTCTCGAAAAGAAGGACTGTTTTTGACGTTCTCCACTGGTCGGGAATCCCTACCTGAAGATAAGTTGCCAGGTGCGACGCGAGAATCTCGTGTAGACGTTGTCCTCCGGCTCGCAAAAATTCGACGGAAAGGTGGCCCGGTTCTGCAGCCATAGACATCTTAATAGCCTGAATCGCTGTGCGCACCTCAGCAGGTAGAATCCTTGGTGGTACTTCTCCAGTGGGAACAACGGGCATTGGCACGGGTGTTGATGAGCGGAAGAGGTTGGCGTAGAAGTTCCTCGCGATAGATTCCAGGTTATATCGGGAAGAAGTCGTAGTTCCTTCTTCGTTCAGTAGTGCAGCCAGCGGTGGGTGATATTCACAGATGTCCCTTCGGCACTTCTTAAGACTTCGTCTTCCTTCGGCCGCTCCCAATATCTTAGCTTGCTTGTACTTCCTGAATTTCTCCTGCAAAGCTGTTCTGCAACTGACGCTGGTTATCACTCGCTCGAGATGGACTGCACTCGGAACTTGCCTCATCTTGATCTCGTTCTTTCGGTTCTTTGGTGGTCTTCTAAATGCGCTCCAAGTTCTTGTCGAAAGTAAGTGAGGCGCACTCTCCGCAGACTCGCAAACCTTTCAGAAGCCGATCGTAGTCGTACGTTGGGTTGTCCTCGATGGGCCATTCACAACTTGATATGAGCTCTTCCAGCCTGTTACCGTCATAAACGACATCCCTCCTTCTTGCTGCACTGTGGAAGACCTTCTTTTCCAGCTTTGACTGAATCGTACCTTCGTTCGAAGAGGCTGTGATTGGAGCCACTGCAGAAGGATGGAACTGCTGAGACATCGAGCAAGCTCCACCTTCGGTTGGTGAGAATATGGTCGATCTCTGCGTGAGTCGTTTCGTTGAGCGATTCCCACGTCCACCGTCGATGATGATATTCCATGGAAAAGTGGTGCCGGAGAGAAGCTAAACGGTTGTTGTTTTCGTGCTGAGGCTCACATTCAAACTTTCCGATCCTATAGTCATTTTTTAGTGGCATCGCGATTTTCGCGTTGAAGTCACTCACAACAAGTTTGTAAAAGGACTTGCGATTGACCTACTCCACATCTACCTAGAAAATATCCGGTTCTGATTTATCAGCTGCTGATGTTGGAGAGTAACAGTTAATGATGGCGATGGTTTAGGTCGTAGTCGTGAGATGGCTAGTCGAGGTGTTAGTTCATGCGAATCGACAAGATGGACGATAAGGATAGATGACAAAGCCAAGCCTCCATCATCTGTCACACGTCCTTCTTCCTGGACATCGTTCTCTACAGAGCGATGACGTGATATTTGATGTGCTCTGCAGCGTCGAGAAGAGCGTTTGTCGATTCGCATGAACTAGCACCTCGACTGTTTTGTCGTGTAGGTGCAAAGCATGAGACAGTCTCCAAGGGATCCAAAAAACCCTTGAGGACCCTGACATCATTCTTGCCTACCACCCGGCGCCGTAGGCGGGATCCGATAAACAGGGTTTATTTCATTTTTTGCTGACATGACTGAAGTTTTCCCCCCTGCAAGAGGAGACTTACTAGGTCTACTCTTGATTTCCACGGGGCGATCGCTGATTCGGGTGTGGAGCGGAAAAACCGCCTAACGACGGAAAATCAGAGACGGGGAATCTGTTCTGGCCGGCTCTTAGTTAGGCATTCGGCCAAGACCGAAAACGTCGAACTCCTTCACAGCTTCGGAGGCCCTACCAGAGTATACACTCTGCTGTGCATCGTAGTTCGACACCCAGTGTCATTCCCACACCACGTTGAGGCGGTCGACTATTATGGGGCATGCATTATTATTTCCAACTTATTATTTAGAAAGCTTTGATAACTTAGATGAGCCAAAACCATTCTCAAAATAGTGGTCCTGGACGCCATTAGTCGATTAACTCGTCATGTAGCATGCATCTCTGTGAGATCATAGAAGTTCTAGACTTTTTTCATCATGACTGATTCCCCGGTCAACTATCTCTGACCAGGAATTATTCGTAAACCTCTTTAAGAGAGACACTGCGCTCTAGTTAACTCATTGCGTGTGTCTTGTTGACGAAGTTTTTACCAGTGGTATCAACTTTTATCTTTCTTCTTCTTCCCTTCTTCTCTCTTTCCCACATGCATTTTACCTTATCTGCTTATTTTTCTCACCCGACAACATCATAAGTAGGCAATACATTTTGACCCTTTTTCCTCGAGATGTGTTATATTGTTGATACATCGCTATTTGTCGCGGGAAATTTCATAAAATTTTTGGGAGTCGCGGGACTTCGTTTCCGAAAAGATTAGCAGACGACTACCTGGAAACTGCTAAATCTTTACTAAGGAAGAACGATTGGTTATTTATCGTATGCGAACCTAGGGTGCCTTCATAGCGCGCCCATAGCCGCCGCTAACGACCCGTAACAGCCGTTGGCTTTAGTATCATAGGGGAGCAGAATCATCAGTTTTGTATTGCGTTGCTGCACTCGCTTACGTCTCACCTTCCATGCTTTTCCTTCCTATTGCTAGCAGTGTGCAGTATGATCTCATGTAATTGCTTTTGTCCATTGTTGTCATTATTTTGTTGCTATACATTGCATATCCTATTAGCGTCCTCACTTCGCTTTTGCAATGTCTTTTCTGTAACGTCTATGAGCGATTGGACTACCTCCCCGCCTTTGCATGTGCTTCGATTTTTTCTTGCTTGCTTTTCTTCTTCACCTTTGACATGACTTTTTGCTGCATGTTCTTTCATGTGGTACAGTCGAGTAGATTTTCCGCTTAATATAGTGTGCTTGCACTGAAGGTGAAATGCGGTAAAATTTGCGCGTTAAGAAATAGCTACGCCTGTGACGCCGGCCATTTGCGCGCGCAAAATGTTGGCATTACTGGCGTGGCTAGTTCACGCGCAAATTTTACCGCATTTCACCTTCAGTGCAAGCACACTATATTAAGCGGAAAATCTACTCGACTGTACATATCTTCTATTCTTAGACCAAGAGATCTGTAAACAAATTTGACTCGTTTTTTCTTGGTCCCAGAGAGTGAGTAGTGCTTGATGGGATAGACTACAAGCGTAAACTTGTTAACCACTTGATTTATTGACTTGGCGGCAGCAGGAAGGAAAATGCTTGGAAGATGAAAAGCGTGGGCGGGTCACTCAAAGTAGTAAGAATCTGACGATTTTGCGCTTTTATGATAAAAAAGCGGCCACCGGCGGCTACGGGCTGCTAGCGGCGGCTGCGAGAGGAATGAAGACACGATAAGCTAAATCGGTTTTTTCTTTTGAACCTTCAGATCGCGAGTGTTTGAGTTCCAAGGTTGATAGTGGCTATCAAGCAGTAGGTACACCCTTTGGATAAAGCTCGACAGGACTTGTCGGCATGAAAACCTCTGCTTAAAAATGGAAAAGCTTAAAGAAACTTCCTATTGCCTATTCACCTTTAAGCTTATTATCCTTGGGAAAAACCTATTGAAAAAGGCGTAAGCTGCGATTCACTGTTTCGCCATTGGTGCCTTTTCTTGTTTCAGTCAGCTTTCCAATGAAGTGAAAATGTTACAAGATGTGTGAAGGATGTGATTTAACAGTGCTAGTATCAATATGACAAAATTCAAAGCGAACATTTACCATCTATACCATGTTTATAAGGGAATTTTGTTTATAAGGGAATTGTCATTGCTTGCTCTGACCCAATTCGCACAAAGCGGAATAATTTGCGGTCAAGACATGGAGTATGAAATTTATCAAAAATCAGTTACTTCCACAATGATGTGCTCGTCATTTTTGTGGAGCTAAACAGATGATGACGTATCTGAATCTTCACCTTGTCCATCAAGCGGTGTCGGGCAGTAGTGGCAAAAATCACCGTCGGCTGGTATATACCGTGATTGTACGCCAGGTCATGCGAGTAGTACATCTGAACATCAAGGCTCATAGAAGCTCTGATGACCAAACCTCTGACTATAAGTTTCAGGAATGTTTTCGAAACTCATGCAGTTACTAGCGTATGATTTTCAATCTACAGATCTATCTATGTTCGGATCTGCAATGAAAGCAAACCAAAGCGCTAGTATGTATTTCTACTTAATGCACTCCTACTGTTTTCCTTGGTTCATTTTGGTAGAGGCACAATGAAGAATTGCGAAAATGCCTAATTTATCCCTGTTGTTTCTGACAAATCATAGTCATTCGTATAGTTCACTTTTAGCAAAAAAATAGTTTGTATTAACGAGAATTTGCATAAATTGCGAAAGTTGCATCCTTCTTTGTATTCTCTGGATTTCACGTACGCGTACATACGTTCATGAAAGCAGTTGCATGCTAATCTCAAATGTACTGCTATATGCGAAATAAAGAAATTGTGGTAACTTGAATATGCGATAGTTACAATAAATATGAAACGTAAATAGTGATAAGCTCACGACTGCTTTAGAGGTGAGTGGCTCTGTTACACTATCTGGTTTGGTTCCTCATTGCAGGCCGCTTTTCGTGTTTGAAGCTGCAGCTTAATCATTGTGCTACGTTACAATACAAACAAGAATCTAAATTACTAAGAAATCAACCAAGTATTGATCATCGCTGTTGTGATAATAATGCGCTGTGAAATTTTCGTAAACGGGAACAACTTCTCGATTTTAATCCAAATACTGAACAGACAACAAGCAAATGGAGTAAATATGCCAATTTGGATTATAGAATACTCAATACAAGAAACGAGCAGAGCAGTTTTCTAGATTGGATGTTCTTCTAAAGAAATACTCTAACTTGATATCACTTTTTGACTGGTGAAGAATAGTGTTCGTAGACTACTTGGAAAAAAGCAAAAGAAACGCAACCCGATGTGTATGTAATGGACTGTAGGGGAAGAATACTAAATCCGCCAAACCAATGAAGATGTAAACCACCATGCGTCTTTGATCGATTTCAACCACGCTTTCGTTTTCTGCGGAACGACCCTTTGAGAAAAGTTATGGGCGCCTGAAAATTCAAATTTGTCAACTCTTAAGTGGCTAAAGTCGATAGCTGTGCAGAAACGCCGGATAGTAAGAACTTCTTGTGTCAAGTATATTGACTACATTTGCAGCTTGTTGAAATCCGCATACGTGTTTGTGTACAAATTTAAGCTAAGTTTGGCTCCCGCCAGAGTGCCGAAGTTATGCCAGCGCTACGCCAGCATTTCGATCGATACACATGTATTTCGTTGGGGACATCTACCTGCTGAGCTAGCCCCGCCCCCACGAAATACACGTGTATCGATCGAAATGCTGGCGTGGCGCTGGCATAACTTCGGCACTCTGGCGGGAGCCTTTATTCCACTTGGAACTTGACAATTTTGAACTGTCAACGCTCACAATTTCTTCCAAACAGTTGTTACGCAAAGAAAGGCTGATTTAAACTCAAGTATGAAGACGCGGTCAATGCTGCTATATCTACATCTCTTTTCGCCTCCGGATAAAGTTGGTATCCTTCTCTTGTACTACCAGAGCACATCTTACGCGATGACAGTCGTTGCTTGATTATCTTGTCGGACATGTACCCCGAGTCGGTTGCGGGCTTAGTGTGATTGCGCTTATGCGGTGTGTAATGCTCTAGACAAACCTCTCGCGATTTCAGTCGCCACGCGATTTGGCCATTTGCCAGATCTCTTCAAACCCAACACTTTCAGACCACAAATGTTTGGTGTATTCAAGTTTTGTAATTCGATGGAATGTGCTGTATTTCGTATGCTAAAACTGAGTTTGCGACGAGTTATAAGCACTGGAGCATTGCGAAGTTGCATAGCTGCTGAAATCGCGTGAGGTATGCCCGGGGCCTAAGATTTTGATGCGTGAATCGCCGGTTAATCTCGAATCTTGCATCTTCAACAGGGACATTGCTAGAATTAGTCGCTAGTTTTGCATCGGTAATTATCATAAAGTACGAACGCTTTTCTTCTTTCTAAGAAGTTTCGTTTTTTTCCAAATGCTGAACTCGGGTGTGACCCCTTCGTCTAAGTGCGTCTCTACAGAGAGAGGAATGGCTATCATACATGGAGGAGAGGACAATCTAGAACCATTGCTAGAATATCTTATTTGTCTAACAATGATGGAATGCACGAGCAACTTACGGAATTTTGTTTCCCTTAGTTCTCCTACAACACATCTTCGAGAGGGCACTAGAACTGACCGTGGCACTTGACCGGACAATCTGTTCGACTTGTCATCTCAAAGCACGGGAGGATGGGTGGTCGATAAGCTTAACCTAGGAAGTTCTTATGAGGGGTCGTCTCAGTGTTTAATTGAACCGAATGGGTTTTATACGGACCAGTGTTTGATCTAAATCTTTCTAACAAGGAGTCAATAAGAGAATGCTGAAAACGATAAAGTTTCGTGTTTCGCCGACCATTTCATGTCCATTTCAATGCGGATAACCGGTTTAGCTGATCGATCGTATTGAACTATAAGTTATTTTTTTGCGGAAAGAGTGCTAGTATGTGCTCAACAATTAGGCGTAGGCGTTTCACAAAGCTCAACATGGTTCAGTTGAAATAGGTACGTATTTTGCTTGGAAGCATTGCTTAAAAATTTGAGAAATATACCGAAGCAACTTCTCAATATTGATAACTCGAAACATTCCGCTCAATTGTTGGTTGTTAAATTGCATGTAGTGGCTGTCGAAAAATATCATGACTTATAATAACGGGCCAAGGGTTGTTTACGTCTTTTTGTACGTGTGTCTGTCTGTCCGTTACGAAATTCGCAGAGCGAGTTCCAGCCAACCTCTTGAGTCCAAATTTTGCACGGCGCATGCTAGCAGCATGAAAATCCGTTATGCAAAAGCACGAGCGGATCCGTTGAGTGTATCCCTCAAAAATAGCGCTTCAAACGGATCCACTTGGCTTCCGACCAGCAAAATTGAGACTGTACCACCACTTCTTGCAAAGTCATGGAAATGATTAACAAGCTGATGTGCAAGCCATGGACTTTAGCCCAAAAAATTGAACTAAAGTTGATTACTTTACGAAAATGGCGCCGAAAAAAAACTAGTTGCGTAAACGTTCAATTTGCCAAGATTTTACCTAATTATTTGAGGAGATTTTTGCACAAAGCTATAGCCCATGGTGACCATCGTCGTTATGGCGACTACAAACCATAAAAAGTCCAAAAACCGGCTCAAATTTGCATCTATTCTTCTCGGAAAAGTTTCATCCAAGCGAAGATACCGATTTCATACAAAAAAGCTTTCAGAATGAGTAGTGGTTTACAAATCATTCGTGATAGCCTGCATAGCGCGGTAAGGATCAATGTCATTATTATGCCGGAATGAGTAAGGCAAACAGAAAGTAGGGCCAGTGCGAGCCTCTGCGAAGCGGAGGTGACTGGTTGACTGGTTGATTTTATAGTGATTATAACCAGTTGTCTGAATTTTGTTGAGAAATTAATGCGTTTGAATGAACTAACCAGTTAAGAAGGTCAGTAGAAATTGAACCGTCTTTTGCATTACAAACGATAAACAGAATTTATCCTGCAAGATTTATCTTACAGGTTTTGTTTTGTGGAAATACGCATTCCCTCGATATCATCCCATATGTCTTCCCTCAACATGACGTGGACTACGTGGCTTGATGAGGCGCCGCCTCGCCTCGGGCTTGCGCCACGTTTGCGTGCGCGTCTTCGGCGTGATGTGGCAACAAGAAGAACGTGGAGAAGCCTGCGCCACGTTGTGCTGAGCGCCACGTCTCGCCAAATAATGCGCCGTGGCGCAGGCTTTTCCACATTCTTCTTGTTGCCGCATCACACCGAAAATGCGCACGCAACGTGGCGCAAGCCCGAGGCGAGGCGGCGCCTCATCAAGCCACGTAATCCACGTCTTGTTGAGGGAAGACATATGGGATGATATCGAGGGTATATGTACTGTTTTACAGAGATGCCGAACAGACCATTTCCACTTTATATGCATTGAATCTCGAAAACAGTACAGCAAGATTCTCCTCCATCTTGGGCTTTTAGCGAAGTCTGAAGAGGACAACAGTTGCTAAGGGATTCAAAAGGCAACGTCAAATTTCGATAGTGACAAAAGGGCAAGCGACGTTGAATCCTTCCAGCGAGAGCTTTTTGCATTTAGATTTATCGCGAGTAGAGTTGTTGTTGTAACTGTGCCAAGCGTTCAACTTTGCATGCGTCCAAGCATTGCCTCATGACTTATTTATGTGTTGTTTGTTATGCCAGATTGCTAAGCATTTCTGGGCACGTGGGACGCAAAGACAAAAAATAGAGTGAAGAGAAGTTTAAACTGAAGTTACCTGCTTAGACTTAGGGCCGCATACATTAGTATCCCCGCCGAGGAGAAGATCGCAGCTTAAATGAAGATTTATATCATAAATCTCCGATATCTGGATTTCATGCTGTCTACCCTATCCGTTAAGTATTTCCAACATTCTTCACTATGAACATATTGAACAGGAGCGAGAAGCTGTACATGTATTCCAGCTTTTTGAGTAATCAGTCGATGATCCCCAGCGGTCGACCGTCTTTTCTTCAAAATCATTTTTCTTTCTTCAAAGTTAACGAAAACATTTGAGAGTGGTACGTTATCTAATCCAACAATGCTAAGCATGTTGCTGATAAGAACAAATGATGTTTCAATCATGAAATTTGCGCTGAACCACAAGTCGTAAGATGGGGTTTATCGAAAAATTCGTATCTCAAAAACTCATTTATTCTCATCAGCAACATGCCTAGCACTGCTGGGTTAGACGGACAGTACAACGTTGAAAGGTTTTTGCTGACTTTGAAGAAAGAATACACTTTGGAGAAATGAAGGTCAGCCACCGGGAATCATTAGGATATCATACAAAAAGTTGAAGAATGCGTTTGCTCTGTTAAATATGTTCATAATGAAGGATGGTGAGAACGCCCACAGATAGTCATACCCAGGTATCTCGAGCTTCAAGATGAAGTTTTCTTTTGAGCTGCGGTCTCCTCCCCGGCGGAGATGTTAATGCACGCGGCTTTAGCTGAAAAGGGCGGCCGGGGAAGTTGGGCGGAAGGGGGAGAGGAGGAGGCGACGGTTTCTGTACTGAATGACGGGTTGACCAGCCTCTTTCAAACAAAATCCTCAACTTAGCTCATGTAATTTACAGAATTCTTTAGCATTTTTCAGTGACCATGCAAATAGATATCCCTTCTGCTATAACCGACTAAATCTGGCATGCTCATGTGCCATCTGCTCCAAGCAGCGTAACTTCGCTATCTTCGCTGTCTACTCACAGCCAATAAAGACAGCAAGCTTTGCTGTCTTCATTGGCTGTGAGTAGCTTTGCTGCTCACGGGCACCCTTCTTTAGTCGAAATGGCCGTTTAGGATGAGATGCATATTACTTACAAGGCTTATCAGCTGCAATGTCGGGAGCACTAGCATCTCCGCTCCCGCGCGCCCGTTTCGCCCAGACTCTACACCTTTCGAAAGCATGCTATCTAATCAGTTTCCCAGCGCGAGCATGGGAAAGGTGGAGCCCCAATCGATTAGACATAATTAGAATATATGTTCGCGCGAAAGAGGTGCAGATTCCCGCGCGGGAACCGAGATGCAGGTGCACCCGACACTGCAGTTGATACCTTGTAGGTGACTTGTCGACCCTGATCTCGAATCTGCCTCCCGTTTCTGAGGAACGCCTTTCTGAAATGAGTTACGAGCACCGTCGATCCGAAACCCTATAATACCAAATTCTCGCTCCTATGCTGTAGGGCACCGGTGGCGTGGCGGTTAGTGTGCTGGCATTGTCGAGATGTCATTTCGGATCCTGTCGCGTTGGATCCCATTTTTTCAAGTAAATGCTTGTTACTAGCTCAAAATCGTCTGTGCACAAGTTTATCGATTTATAACTTCTTTGTAAAAGGATAAACGGGATAATAATCGAAGTCCTTGCAAATTAAAATTATGGACAAATGTGAAAACCGAGGACAGAATTTGCGAAAGAAAATGATTTTTCGCAGCAAGAGCAGCGAATAAAAGCTACTTTTGTGCAATGCAAACACTCACAATCTTCTGCCAGTTCAGAGTAGAAGTAATACTGGAGAAGGTTTCAATAGTACGTGGATGTTTATCTATATATCCACTTGCGTACCACGGGCACGGCCAGTACATGGGAAGTCGTTCAAAAGCTCTGAAAGGGAGGGAAAAATACACATCAAGGGCTGGATTTTAGATGTCGTAACTGCGGGTATGTTTATGATTTTGGTTTTTTACCAGAGTAAATAGCGTAATGGCTTCATGATCCTTGAAAGCAGTCCATGAATCAAGTAATAGAAGTTGTGCTTGAGATGCGGCAAGAATAACTCCGTACGCACTCAAGGAGCAGTCGCTTTCGTCATGATATGGGAAGTATGGGCACAAACTTCCAAGCTGTGAATACAAAGATATCCTCTCTCGGGAATTACTCCATGCGGCTTCTGATTATTTGAACATATGATGACGCAACGAGTTTTATGTAACAAACCTGCATTACCACAAACAGGTTTTTCCCTAGATGCCATCGGCTTAAAGAATACGTCATTGTGAACGAGTGGGTTGTGGATGCAACACTGCACATCGCTTCACTGTTGTTATCCTCTGAGGGTTAGCATACGGGTCGAATGAAGCTCTTTCAACACTCCGCTTTGGTCCGCATTGCAGATGCAGGCGGCGTATCAGGATCCTCCAAAGGCCTGCCGCTTCTTCTCCAGGCGCGCCTCTAGGAGGCAATCCCTTCGCGCCTACCACGCGCTAATGTCGCACTTGTCTCGCACATTCCTGCGATAGTTCCCCTCTGGACAATCGTCTTCTTTCTTCTAGCATCAATTATGAAGGTCACAGCTCGAATAACGATTTTACAATGCTAACAAAAGATGAAGAGGTGAAACTGTCTGTAACCAACAAATGGATGTGAAACATTCTTTCACCTTAGTCGAGGTGAATTAGAAAGATTGTTATTTTTGTAGTCGGAAAGGTTACCGCATCAACGATTTGTCAGTAACATACAAAAAATGTGAAAACTAAGCTGACTGACAGGCAAATACATCCCGCTGTGGCTATCGAGATGTGGTAGATAAAAAAAAGGTGATCATGTTTTCCCGAAAGCGGAGCCAAATCATGAGCATCTTTTTGAATATGTACAACTTTAAAAACACGATGTACATCATTTTTTGGCAGTTCATTGAGTCCGTTGTACCTAATTTTGTCTTCAAAGAACCGACGCTTCAAATGGGTATGTAATTCAG